CCCTGCCAGGACTCTTGATTCCTCAGTCACATGACTTGTCCTCCAGACTGCCATTCCCCCTTGTGGACAGGCACAGCCTTTAAAAAATTCCATTCTAAAATTGAACTGAGTGAAGCCCAGCTCCTTGTGACTCTCACCCCTTCCCCTCAGGAGCCACTCGCCCCTCTGTGACCTCTGAGACTGGAATTCAGCAGCAGAAAGCAGTTCCCTGCCTGCTCCGGTGGGATGAATCCCTGGTAAAGTCTTGGCTGACCTCATGCCTGTGGGTATCACCTGGAACTCAGTCTGCTGCAGGGCTTTAGCTCTCTGGTTGCACATACGCAGGCATGGGGGTGTGTGTGTGTGTGTGTGTGTGTGTGTGTGTGTGTGTGTGTGTGTGAAGATAAGCCTCTTGCAATCACAGCACTCCTAGAGGCCAAGGCAGGGGGATTGCAAGTTCAGTCCTAGGCTAAGGAATTTAGTGATTCTATTAAAAAATATGAAAAGGGCTAGGCATGTAGTTCAGTGAAATGACCCTGAGTTCAGTCCCTGCCACCACCCCCCAAAAATATAAGCTGCTTCCTATTCTCTGTTCTCTCGTCATCATCTTGGATATGAACACAGGAACCAGACAGATAACACCAAGACCCAGCCAGAGATAACAGCTGCTGCAGAGAATACTCCAGGCATGGTTCTGGGCACTGTCCTGGCTAGGGTGACAGACATCTTCTTGTGTGTTACAAAGCTAGGATGAGAAGTGGAGGAGAGGAACCCCTGCACTAAGAAAACCGTGTTGGGGTAGGGGTGAAAAATTCAGCCTCACCTGTTTGTACATTTTCCTGGGGCCCTGGAGTCTTCATGTATGTTAGGGAACTGATCATGTTAAAGTATGCTGTGACGCTGCCATCACAGGCTGCATTCTCCTGGTACTTCTTGGCTCCTAAAATGACCTCATGCCCTTAATCTCTGGTTTTCCTCCCCCTAAGGCCACAGTGGTCTAGAGAAGTTGAAACTGGTTTCTGTGGGGCTGGACCCATAAAAAGCAACCTGGCCTGTGATAGGTTAAAAGTAGCCCACTCCTCATAAATAATCAATAGCCCAGCCCAAAACTGATAAAAGGACCTTCCTTTCTTTGTTCTCTTCTTCTCTTCCTCTCTTCTTCCTCCTCTCTCTCTGCTCTTTCTCTCCTCCCACCCCTTGAATAAAGTCTCCTGTCGGACCTCTCGGTGTATGTGTGGCCTAGTTGTTGAGCGTCACTATTTCCTTTCAGTGTACATACTAGGGACAATCAAAATGTGTGATTAATATTGGCATTTTTAAAAATGTAGTACAGCAAAAGTCACATTTCCATTAATCCCTTGCTTCAAATACACACCTCACTGTTCTTGCTGTGAATCCCCCTCACTTTGAACACGCTCATCTCCTTGCTCTTGCCACTTTCTGCAGCAGTTCTGGAAGTCCTCTTTCATGAGTGTCTTTACAGTATGTGACCAAAATAAAGTGAAGGCTAGGCACCAGTGAAAAAGCAGGCTCATGAGAGCTGTGTCCAGATCTGCCTTATTCACCAGATATGGCACCATGTGGCTTCTGGCTCTTCCCCAAAGTAAAAGTGCCCATGAAAGAGAAACATTTCAAATAGATTCATATCAGGGAAGCCACAACAGCTAAAGATTCTTAGGAAAGAGAACTCCAGACCTGCTGCAGAAAGTGGCAAGGACAATGGGATAAGTGCGTTCACAGGAAGGGGAGTTAATGAAAATACTCCTTTTGCTGTAATACATTCATCGTATATTTTTATCACACCTTGTACATCTAGTTGAAAAGCACAATTGGTTAGTTTTTCCAGTACTTGAATTGAATCCTGAGCCTTTTCACTGAGCTACATCCCCAGCCCTTTTTTTATTTTTTATTTTGAGATGAAATTTTGCTAAATTGCCAGGCTGAACTCAAGCTTCTTGCCTGCCTCAGCTTCCCAGGATGCTGCTATTACAGGCATGCACTACTGTACCCAATGCAAATCGTATTTACATTTGTGTTTTATATCCTGATCTTTCGGTCAGTGTCCCATCAGTGAAAGGGGAAAAGAATAAACAGAAACTTGCTAAGTAGCAAGTGATAAGCAGATTCAGGTATGAAACTTGGGTACTTCGTTGTGAACAGCCAAAATAATTTATTGTTACATGGTGAACTTACACACCTGAGTGGTTTCCACTTTTTGTCTCTTACAAATAATGCTGTTACAAACACGTACACATTTTTATGTGGAAGTGAATTTTCCTTTCCCTTCAGAATCATTGGCCATGTGTAACTCTGGCTTTACCCTTGAGCTGCAGGAATGTTTCTAGAGCAGAGGTCCCCACCACCACTCTGCCTTTCCACCAACGCCTCTGCGGCATCGCCTACATGGGTGTTATTATTTTCCTGTCATGTGGTCCCTGACATTTTAATCGCACCGTCTCCCTCCTGTCATCAGGTATCAGACTGCTTCTGTCAGCCAGTGTGGTGCTACTTCATTCCCTTGGTAGCAGTGGAAGTGGTGGCTGCTGAACTGATGCAGATGCCTTACTTTTAAAGGGAGTTGTTTGATCTGGGCTTCTGGACAGAATAACATCGCAGTTTCGGGTGTCAGAGAGACCTGGGCCATATCCTTGCTCCCCAGCTGTGTGGCCTTGGCCAGGTCTCTATGGAACTTTCCCAAGCTCCATTTCCTCCCTGTGAGATGAAGTTTACACGTCTGCCTTCCTTGGACTGCAGAAGTGATCCAGGTGGGACATCAAATGAGATCTGCAGCCGTCCTGAAAGGCCTGAGATTGGACAGGTTATAGGCCCAGCAGGTAGTATGGCGGCATGTGGGACACACACCAGCAGGGCCACCTGTGTTTGTGTGCTCCCCTGCCTGCCCCCAGCCCCTGCCCCTCAGCTGAAGAGAGCTACTTGCTGCCAGACAGCTGTCCCTTAAATCCAAAGAGCCACGTGCTGTGTTGCTTTGCTTTTTACTTTTGTTTACTTTTTGATGTGGGGTGCTCAGACAGTGTCACGTGCTCCAAACACTGCAGCACATGGGGCTGAAGTGGGATGCTCGAAGAAGTAAGTGTGATACCTCCGTCTTCCAGCACCTGGTAGAGACGAGATCGAGAGATGGCATCTGGGTAGAGGTGCAGGGAGTGCTGTCCTGGGCACCAGGGGAGATGGCAGAAAGCAGGAGCAAGACTGTGAAGGTCAAGGGACTCAGGTTCCCACCAAGGATGGCAGAGAACTAATCAAACAGGATTCAGTAATAGGGTCAGGTACATGACCCTATGCTTGACCCTGAACTACACCCCCAACCCTTTTTTAAAATGTTTATATCAAGGCAGTCTTACTAAGTCTCTGAGTTACTAGGCTGTGCTCAAACTTGAAATCCTCCTGCCTCAGCCTGCCAGAGTGCTGGGATTACAGGTGTGTACTACCGTACCTGTTGACTTTTTAGGTTTTTAAATCCTTATTTCTTAGAGTGGAGTTAGCTGGGTACAGTGAACCTCTAATTGCACTCCAGTCTCAAAAAAAGTGTGGAGCTGGGACTGTAGCTCTGAATGAAGCCCCTGAGTTCATCTCCCAGTACCACAAAAAAAAAAAAAAAAAATAGTGGTGTTTAGGATAGAACATTAATCCTGTAACAGAAAAATTACCTTAAAGAGAGAAATTCTTTGTAATAACAGCTTATTACAGGTGTGATCCAAAACAAGAGGAAAGGACAGGCTAGTGCTAACCATGTGCATATGTCATGGCTCTTGTGTTGTGTGGAGCTTGTGGGGCACACTCAAAGCCACATGCCGTGCTGCTTGCCAGGCTCACTGACCAACTGAGAATTTCTCTTCTGGGCCCCTGCAGCAGGACAGTTTCCTCTTCCCCTGCCCTACCTTCCTTGTGTCCTGTGTCTTAGCTTGCTGCTACTTGCTAAACTTCGGTCCCTAGAACTCCACACACCACCTGTCAGGCTGCCCTGAGTGCCGCCACCAGACAGCCACTTGGCCAGCTCTGATCCTCACACCATCCCCTTAAGCCCTGCCTGGGCCCACTGTAGTCTGTCCTGGGTCCAGTCTACCTCCCTTGGGAGGGCTTCACTCTACATCCTTTGTGATTTCCCCACCCACTCTGATCTTGTCCTGCAGAGCTGTTCAGTCCACTGGGTCTCAGACACCCAGTCCAAGTGCCAGCTCACATAGAGTCATGCTTTCTGGATGTGGGCTCAGTGCCAGACATACAAGACGAGTGGAGCTCCCTGCTCCTGAGGAGCCTTGTCCCCCTCCAGTCTTCCTGTCTGCACTCGGCCGCAGCCACTCGGTCCTCTGTCCTGCTCTCAGACATGCTGGCTGGCCCTATTTTGAGAGCTTGCACTGGCTTCCCTTCTATGTACAATCCTCCTCCTTCCACACCTCTGTGTTCCTCCATCCTAACAGCCTCTTTTGCCGCCACTGGAGCCCCATCCCTTGTTGCTGGGGGTCAAGCAGGAAAATCACCTTCCTTGTCCATCCCAGGAGAACCATGTCCAGGCACTTGACCACCTCCGCCATTGATCTTCCTGTTGTACTTTTCCTGTAAAGTTGCTCTGTTTTCTACATCTCCCTCCTCAGTGTCTTTGTGGGTGGGTGGGTGGTGGTGATGTTGGTCACTGTGGTATCTGGAGTACAGACACTTGGTGAGTGACCATCCAGGGGTGGAGGAGCCACCAGGGAGTACAGGAGGTTGTTTTCCATTTCCCGGCTTGTACCTGTCCTGTACCACTCTGCGCCGAGGTAGGAGTGCCTTGGGATCTGGGTAGCACAGAGCTAGGTGGAGCCCCAGATGTCACTGCGGATGCTGCAAACTGGGAAGACCAGAGGCCATGCTGCTGTGTGACTGGCTTTGTAACAAGCATGTTCTGTCACTCAGGCTGCTTAGTTCATTTCTTCTAGTCCTCCTTTGCGAAATAGACTTGGGGGTTGGATACAAATTGCACTAGGAAAGATACAGAGTACATCAAATTGCATCTCCCTTTATAGATGTGAACGATTAGAAGAACAACTAAATGACCTAACAGAACTCCACCAGAATGAAATCTTGAACTTGAAGCAGGAGTTGGCCAGCATGGAAGAGAAAATTGCCTATCAGTCCTATGAACGGGCCCGAGACATCCAGGTGAGTGTAAAGAGTAAGGTTTTATAAAAGCAAACACTACAGGTTTAGAAAAGGAAAACACACAAGAGGAAAGTCGGAGGAAATAGTCTCCAGAAAAGCTTGTGCTAACTGTGATATACCTGCCTTTCAGATGATTGAGGCACATTTTGCGGACATCTGTGCAGTTCTAGAGAGGTTCACCTGGCTGGGAGATGTGTCTGAATCTCAGGAAACCAGAGTTCCACCCACTGGTTTCTGTTTGCAGAGCTGCTCTGACTGTCCTGAGGTGTCTTGCCTCTGCTCTTATATGAGGGATGGGGCTTCTGTCCCAGCTGCTGCCGAATCTACATTTCTTGCGGGCCCATCACCATGAGGCAGAAATGTTTCAGACAGACAACCTGTTTTATCCCATGGAGAAATGGAAAGTTTAGTTTTATTTCTACAAATAGGTCCATCTGAGGGGATAGTGCTTTTCTACAAAGGCCCCTTGAAAGAAGGTGGTCCAAGAGAAGGGTAGCAGCCTGAAATCTCAGTGCAGCTACCACCAGTAGCTGAGGACACCTTTTCCAGGCCTGGAGTCCTGTTTGTACTTCACTCGGTCCTCCCCAAATGGTCCTGGTTGGAGCAGCACCCAGGCCGCCACCCACATTGCCTGCACCTACCTAACCCTGGGAAAAGCAAGGCCATTGAAACCCAGGGCCATGTACTGCTGGACACAGTTAGGGACATAGGTTCTGGTCCCTGGGAAAATTCTGGGTGAAGGCCTTTGGCTGTGAGGGGAGATCCATCATGATGCTTGGTCTTGTGTGTGAGAGCCACTGAAGGGAAGTGTTTCCTCATCAGGGAGTTTAGTGCCTTCCCACTGATGTCAAGCATTGGCAGACTTAGAAAACACAGGCAGAGTTTGCAGGGAGACATGTTCAGAAGACACCTATAGCAGCAGTAATAGGTTGAAGAAGTTGGAAATAACCTCAGGTCCCCAGGAAGGAACTGACTGGAACCCTGGGACATACCCAGACTATAATGTGTTGGGTATTGCCCTGGACCGGGCTCAGAGACCTGCTGTGCAGTGAAAAAGTAAGTTGTAGTTGGGCTTCTACAGAACGCCGTTCCACAGTATCAATCCCTAACCTCTCTAGGTCTGTAGGTGCAAGCGTGGGCACTTGCCCGACTGTGTTTTCAAATAAAAGTTTGTTTATGTTAAATAACTCCGAGTGTACTGGGTAACTTAGATTAATAATTTTTAAAGGAAAAAAATCAAATATCTGAGGTATCATTAAAATGTGCTAGACCAAATAAATGAGGGTGGCCAGCTTCCTGAAAGCACCCAGAGTGCAGGAACAAGTGGTGCCCACCTGGGGAAGTCCTGGCTGGCTGTGTGCTGGGCAGCAGGCCTAACTTCCCATCCCATCTTGTCCTGTCTCATCCTGTAGGAGGCCCTGGAAGCATGCCAGACCCGCATCTCCAAGATGGAGCTGCAGCAGCAGCAGCAGCAGGTGGTGCAGCTGGAGGGGCTGGAGAGCGCCACCGCCCGCAACCTGCTGGGCAAGCTCATCAACATCCTCCTGGCCGTCATGGCAGTGCTTCTAGTTTTTGTGTCCACGGTAGCAAACTGCGTGGTCCCACTCATGAAGACACGCAACAGGACGTTCAGCACTTTATTCCTTGTGGTTTTCGTTGCCTTTCTCTGGAAGCACTGGGACGCCCTCTTCAGCTATGTGGAGCGGTTCTTCTCGCCTCCTAGATGATGCCGCCCAACACAGTGCTCCTGCCGTGGTGCATGCAGAGAGTGAGACGGCAGCCAGCCTGCTCGGGAGCCCTGCAGCAGCAGAAGAATTGAGTGAATCTGTTTACATTTAGAGTAATGTTTTTTTCTTCAAGAGACACAATTGCAATAGTATTTTTTAGATTTTATCCAAGGAGTTTTTTTGGGCAAAAATCTTGGATCATTTTTATGTAGCATGATTTCCTTGGGATGCAAATCTTAAACAGTCCTTTAACCTGAACCCAGTCAGGGCACACTGAAGGGCATTCGGAATCGTGGCTTGAAGGACGACACTCAGACACAGAACTGGGTAGGACAGCAGTTACGACACCTTCCCTGCCTGAGTCCACTTCTCGCCTGGGCTGACTACTGTGAAATCCGACCACATTCCAGGCCTGAATGTTTGGATCCAGGGTGGAAGAACATACCCGCTCCCTAACTTTTCACCCCAGCTGGCCATTGGTGTGAACCCTGGACGCCCGCTCACTGGTGAACACAGGCCCTGACCCTGCCAGGAGTGACAATGTTGTGCCCAGAGGGGCCCTGCACAGCCCTGCAGCATTGTGAAGTAGCCCTCCAGATCCTTCATTTTAAGCAAAATCCCTTGGCCACAATTTTAAGGTTTGTTTTTTTTAATATGTGTATAGTTACCAACTTAAAAACAAACCCAAACCGCATACTTGAAGAATGTAATACTCAAACTCTCAGTGCTTCCTTATGGTTTCTAATAGGATTTTTATTATTGTTATTATTATTACTATTATTATTATTATTATTATTATTATTATTGGGTTTTTTTGGAAAGGGTTGGGAGGGTCTTTTATTTTTCCTTTGAAATAAAGAAGTGCTGTTTTTAAATGAAGACGTGTGGGTATGTAAGTGTGCTGCCCTTCCAGTCGGAACAGTTCAGGGAGAGCCTTGCTGTCCACACTGCCCTCTGCTGCCCCTGGCTCGAGTTGCAGCTTGTGCTTCCTCCTCTGGCTGCTGCTGCTTTCTGGTGTCCTGCTGCCCCTACACCACCATTTCCTGGGCGTGGCTTGTTTGGGAGGCATGGGGTGCTCAGGGAGAAGGGGATCTTTCCACAGGCCAGTGTGGTAGGGCTGGGATTGTGCTGCCCAGGTAAATGTTCCTCCAGTGACCTTGAGCTGGGATTGTCTTTAGGAGAAATCAAGACTGTGTAAGAGTCGTAAGTAATTCCTCGTATGCCCTTAATTTATTGTTTAACACCCTGAGTTACTGAAACCAAAGTGACATGGAGTCTTCTGTCTGCATTCTGGCCCCAGCACCCTTAATCGCAAAGCTTTATTCTGTTTGCCTAAGAGGATCAACTGAAGGAGATTCTCCTGAAGAACAGAAAAGGAAATGTCAGGTTAGAAGGACCCACATTGTGAGTGTGAATTGTTGCCACCTTCCTCCTCTTTGAAGACAAACTTACTAACCGAACCCTGCTCAGTGGACTTTTTGTAGGCAGTTTAGGAAACAAGCTGAGCCTTCTTCCCCGCCATGTAGCCAGCTCCATCGTCTTGGTGGAACTTGAACTTTTAGAATTTATCTAGAGAGCCTGATTAGTGTTTCCTATTATCCACAGTCTTGGGTCACAAATGCTGCTCCCTCACAGCCTCTTGTGTGCAGCCATGTGACACGCAGGAGCACGTACGGAGAGAAGTCAAGAGCACTTTGCTTGTTCCTCATGCCGAGACAGCTCTGGGACTAGGTCAGCCCTGGCCTAAAGGACAGCTGACGTCAGCTCCAACCGCCTCATGCTGTGGCAGGCTGGCCTTGGCCACCTCTGTCATCCGCATAACCACATTGACGCTTAACTCAGGTACCCTAGTCTTCACCCATCACCTCACTGCACCCAGAGCAGGGACCACAGGGATGTGATTTCTCTTTTTCAAAAGATGTTCTTGCCAAAACCAAATCACCCCCAAGCCTATTTATTTAACATACTAAATTTGCCGGAAGATATTACAGTGACAGTAGCAGGAGTACCAGAGGACACCCTGACCGTGTCTAGCAGTTTCTGCTTTGGCTTAATTGCTCAGAGTAGAGTCGGAAAGATGCCGTAGCTGCAGGCATGGTTTCCCCAATGCAAAACCTTTGAGGCTCCTGCTTCCTGGAGCTCCTGAGCTCACAAGCATTGCACAGGAGGGTGATGTGGTTCCCATTGCCGAAGGACAGTTTTTCTCAAAGGAAGGTTTCACCTCTAGAAAGCCTCCCAGAGCTGTGCCAGACAGGCCGCGCTGATTCCTCTTTGTCCTCAGGCTATCTTGGGAAGGATGTTGGTGCAGGTCAGGCACATAGTGGCTTTCTCACTCTCCTGTCCCCTGATCATTAACAAGACCCAACTGTGGTCTGTGTTTACTGCTCTGATCTCCTGTGTCTGTTTCCTTACCTGCCTATCCTTCCCACTGCCCAGCCCTGTTGCCTTTGAGTTTCTCTGCATCATGGCTGCTCTTAGATTCTCCTGCCTTTTCAGACCCCTTTGATAACCTCAGATATCTGCTCTGAGTGGAACTTTTCCTCACTTCATGCTTCATCTCTTAAAAAGACGATGTACACCCCCTTTGAAATGAAGCAGTCCTTGACTGTGTGTCTGTGTGGTGCCAAGCCAGGTGAGCAAGGCTAGCCGTGTTGGCCTGGCTGGCTGGGCAGGCTGCAGTTGCACTATGTGATGACTGGGGAGCCACTCAGTGCACTCCACCAGCAGGGAAGTCTTCCTCCTCCATTGGCTCCTCACCATCCAGGTGGAAGTGAAACCTTCCATGTCTCAGAGTAGATCTCTCCCCTGTCCCAGCAGGATGAGATTGACACCAAGAGGAGCGTGGGGATCAAGCCTTCCTTGCTGGCTGTGCCTAGTGGGGAGCAAACTGTGGTGTGGTCCTGACAGCCTATGGTTCTGTGTCCAACCCCCTGCTCCACTGTGGTGCAGCTAAAAGAATGCTGGGCTCTACATGGGTCCTTGCAGGGAGCTACCCTTCAGCTTTGGAAAATGTACACACCTTGAACCAAAGCCAACATTAGAATCGACAAACTGGCGCAGACAAAAGATGGTTCCCGCACCCCCCCCATAAAACCTGGGATTTCAAATGCGGCTCTGAGAGTTAACATTTCTGTGTGTTGGGTATGCTAGGACACCCTCCTTAGGGTCTGACTACTAGACTGTGTGTTTTATCCAAGTGTGTAAGAATAAAAACTCACATGCACGAATTGAGAGTAAAGAAATGACACTTGTGAATGCGTGAACATTAACACTGTAGTTGATAGATCTTAAGCTGCTAATTGTTGAGAGAGAATTAAATTTATGTTCTGTCTGGTTGCTGCCAGTTGCAGCAGTGCTTTTACTGTACATACAAATGGAAATAAAGACCTCAGCTATTAACTTGGTGGTCGGACTCGGGTTTATTTTGCTTACATTCTGAAAACTTTCCACTAGTTTACACATTAAAAAGTGTGAGAGGGCTGGGGATTTAGCTCAGTGGTTCTACTGCCTGCCTCGTAAGCACAAGGACCTGAGTTTGATCCCCAGTACCAAAAAATAAAAAAAGTGTGAGAGTGGGGCCAGAGGTATAACTCAGTGGCACTGCACCTGCCTAGCAAGTGCAAGGTCCTGAGTTCGATCCCAGTACCAGGGAAAAAAGTGTGCCAGTGTGTGTGTGCACGTGTGTGTGTGTGCGCAGTATCTGGGAGCTGTAACTTCCAGCTGGGCAGCTGTCACAGCATTCCATACTGACGCTCTCCTGTCATCCCCTTAGACCCTACTCAGTTCTCTGAAGAAGTATCAAGCAGCATCACCCAAATCCAGTGTCTGTGACCCAGACTGGGCGTAATGCCTGTTCATCCTTCCAAGACTGCAAAAACTGTTGTAATGGGTAGAAACACACCTGTATAAGCATTTAACATTTCATGGTATACACACATGAATAAGTTACTATCCAGCCTAATTCTACCTATGGTTTTGAAGAAGCAGTAAACAGTGGTGTTTTTTTAATTGGTGCTGAGTTTGAAGCCCAGTCTTGTGCATGGTAGGCAACTGCTCTGCCACTGAATTGCATCCAAACCCTTTCATTTTTTACTCTGAGACATGTTCTCACTAAGCTGCCCAGGCTGGACTCAGACTTGCCTTTCTCCTGCCTCAGCCTCCTGAGTAGCTCTTGTCTCTTACCTACAGACTAGTGAGATCACAGTCTGATCTGACTAGTGGGTGTTGTGAGAGCAGGCACATCTCTAGTGAGAGTTTTAAAAATTGCTATAGGAACGAGAGTCCTTCAGCTTCTTAAAGTAATGGGCCAGGTCGCCACATACAGGTTGAGGCTGTGTGCTGCCCAGGCCTGAGGAGCTTCACAGGCTGCCCTCTGAACACATGCTGGGGTTGCATGGTGCATGAGGGGTGCACATTGCGGCCCTGAAGATGGGATGTATTGTTGAAAGGTTACACTAAAAATGGGGAAATGGCAGGCTGATAACCTGAAAAGCTGTGGTGTAGAAAACAGACTGGGAGCCGGGCGTGGTGGCGCACGCCTGTAATCCCAGCACTCATGAGGCTGAGGCAGGAGGATTGCTGTGAGTTCGAGACCAGTCTGGGCTACATAGTGAGTTCCAGGTCAGTCTGCACTACATAGTGAGACCCTGTCTCAAAAAAACAAAACAAACTGGGAAGGGCAGAGGGGCTGCTCCACCTGGGAAGAGTATGCCTCACTCTAAGGACTCAGATGCACTCCTGTAACTCCCCAGGCCACATGAACACTGAACATTTGACCCCCACAGCTCACTGAGAATGAGCACCTAGCACCATGTAGTTTGTCGGCTCATACTCCCCAGCTGTGCAGGAACAGAAGCTGAGGTTTGGTTAAGTGGGTTGCCCAGAATTACTGTTAGGAAATGGGAAGTCAATACAGTGGGAAATAGGTCTACCCCACATACATAACAAAAAGGGAGTGTTCACAATATGTGACTAAGAACACAAATCAGTAAGTTAAGAGAGGTAAAAAAAAAGACCAAAGGTTGTGAATAAATAGTTTGCAGAAAAATAAATGGCCAGTAAACACCTCAAAAGATGCCTTGCTTCCTGGGCAGTCAATAGGAAATGGAATGGATCATTGCCCTGTGTGCCGAGTACTGTGGTCATTTAACTGACCCTATGACATGGGAACATCACGTTTCGTGGTCAGGAGGAACAGGTGAGGGCCAGGGATTTAGCTCAGCGGTTTGGTGGCCTGCCTTGCAAGTGCAAGGACCCGAGTTCAATCCCTGGTACCCAAAAAAAAAAAAAAAAAAAGGAGGAACAGGTGAAGCAGGACTTCCATGCTTGGCTTCTACAGAACATGAGTCTCTCTGAGAAGACATTTGTGGGCATTTTTAATGTATAAAAACTTTTTTTAAAAGAAACCAGATCTGTTGCAGAGAGGTGAGGAAAAGATCTCTGCTGGGGTCCGGCTGCACTGGGCCATCTCTGGCCTGCAAGCATCGACTCAAGGGACCTCACCACTGTGGCCTCCCTGCTGACCAAGGATTCAATCTGGCGCTCCCAGGGTGTCCCGCTGCTGGGCCCCGAGGACAGGAGGGTGGGGACAGAGGTGTCCAGCCTTCATCCCTAGCACTGACAGTGGGTAGCCAGGGAAACCAAGACCCAGCAGCACAGGTGGGGTGTGTCTACCGAGGTGTGGGGAGCTTCACTCTTTTTTAGACAGAACAAGGGGTTTGTGCATACTAGGCCATCCCTCCACCACTGAGCCACTCCCAGCCTGAGATGGTGGCTTCTGGGCCAGC